TCTTTCTAGTATGCTTTGAGATGAGATGTGGGCCCATTAATTTCATGACCATATTTCTAATACATATTTGTTCGAGCATGTAAGTATTAAAATAATTCTGATATTTGCCAATTGAATATATATGTAAATCTGTATATCTGCAATCCTACTTGAGTCTACAGTGAATCTCTGTAGTTATGTCTAATCCAAAAATCCCTCCAATTGTCTCTTTAGTTTTGTTGAATTTATTGACGTGACATTGGTTAACAAAATTATGCAGTGCAAGAGAGGTTGTTTTTCTGCTTTCTGGTTTAGGATTCCGTTTCTTGGGTCTACTATGTTACTGCTTCTAGCTTTCAGGATTTTATTGCTGCTTCCACCATTGTTACTTATCTTTTGCCTTAAAATTAACAATTTTTTAAAAAATGTTTTTTTTTTTAATTGATTTTTTACAGAGAGGAAAGGAGAGAGATAGTTAGAAACATCGATGAGAGAGAAACATCGATCAGGTGCCTCCTGCACATCTCCTACTGGGGATGTGCCCGCAACCCAGCTACATGCCCTTGACCGGAATCGGACCTGGGACCTTTCAGTCTGCAGGCCGCCGCTCTGTCCACTGAGCCAAACCGGCTAGGGCTAAAATGAACAAATTTTTTGTAAAATATATTTTTATTGATTTCTCACAGAGAGGATGGGAGAGAGATAGAGAGCTAGAAACATCGATGAGTGAGAAACATCGATCAGCTGCCTCCTGCACATCTCCGACGGGGGATGTGCCCGCAACCCAGCTACATGCCCTTGACCGGAATCGGACCTGGGACCTTTCAGTCTGCAGGCCGCCGCTCTATCCACTGAGCCAAACCGGCTAGGGCTAAAATGAACAAATTTTTTGTAAAATATATTTTTATTGATTTTTCACAGAGAGGAAGGGAGAGAGATAGAGAGCTAGAAACATCGATGAGAGAGAAACATCGATCAGCTGCCTCCTGCACATCTCCGACGGGGGATGTGCCCGCAACCCAGGTACATGCCCTTGACCGGAATCGGACCTGGGACCTTTCAGTCTGCAGGCCGACGCTCTATCCACTGAGCCAAACCGGTTTCGGCTAAAATGAACAATTTTAACATTTACATTTAAGAGAGTTTTTTGGAAGGGGTAAGAGGCACATGTGTGTGTTTAATCTTTAACTGGAACATTATAATTGTAATTACTTCTTTTGATTGACCTTTTTTACTAAATGACAGGCATAGTGAGGTAAAAAACACTAGTCATGTTCACTGTTGTGTCCTCAGACTGCACAGCCATCCTGTCCTGATGTGATCATTGAATGGTGTTAAGTTAATGTATCAGTTAAACACTTGTATAATGGAAGTTCTTTGATGATGGGGTAGAGAGAACAATATGAAATGCCTGCTACATTTCCCTCTTGACTCTCTCTTCTTGCAGGAGAAGGGGACCTCATGATTAGGCCTAAATTAAGGCAGGCTCTTTTGAATAGAATACCTTGTCCCACCATAATCTCTGCCCTAGCATGCTGGACACCAGGTAGCTGTGGTGGCATCGGTATCATCATCATCGTCGTAAGCAAGCATAGCTTTGGAACTTCTCAGCCTGACGGAGAGCTCAGTAGCTCATGGGCTAGCAAAGCCAAGCAGGCTGCATGCATCCAGCACATGTCCCTGGGTTGTAGGCATGTCCTTGTCGCTTTCGGTGCCTATATATTTGACTTCACTGTCTTTTTAGTGTAGACTATTTCATTTTTTGCATATGCCACTTGGTTGTTTTTAATATATGTGAACTGGTAGTTAAGATTAGCTGCCATTTCTTCATGTAGTTTTCTGTTAGAGCTCCACCTCGGGCTTTGTGAACATGATGTGACTCACTGTTAAGTGCTGGGTGAATGAGTGCAGCCATAAAACATGCAAAGGTCCCAGTCTACAAGAGCTCACGGTCCACATCTCAAATCCTCCCACAGCTCCTTTTCCCTCCTGTCTGAATTGTTAGTGAAGTAGGGTTCCCATCAGTAGTGTATAAGGGTTCCCACTTTCTACACACACCCAACAATGCTTGTTATTTTCTTTTTCAATTTTTTATGGTCATATTAGTGGCTGTGAAGTGGTATCTCATGGTTTTGATTTGCATTTCTCTGATGACTAATGATATTGAGGATCTTGTGTATACTGGCCACTTATATATCTTCTATTAAATTTTGTTCTCTTTTAAAAATTAGGTTGTCTTTCCATTATTGAGATTCTCTTTGTCAGAATTATTTACCTTATTATAAATGTTATCCCCTAATTAATAACATAGAACTGTTCTTGAATGTAAATAATTTGGTTAGAATAACACAATTTATAGTCAGTGTACAATCAGAAATCTACAGTCTATATGTAATAGGAAATTTACAGTCCTCACAAACTTTGGCTGTTTCTGAACAACAGTAAAATAGTATACGCAGTTGTTTATGCACTAGCAGAGCCAGCGCTAAAGAAATGTGCTTATTTACTTTCTGGTAATTATACTGTCTCATTTGGTAGGATTTTAAAGAGTATGCAGAAGTAGTGGGTTGGAATGAGAGGTTTAAAAATTGCATTTTAAAGGTAAAAGTTTTATAAATTAACTCTAAAGTTAGAAGTGGTAAGTAAAATTTAAAGCTAGAGTTTAGGGGCATTGGTCTAGGATTTTCTGAAATTTACTGATAATCACTTAAAGAAGGGATTAAAACTTAGGAGAATTTTGTATACTTGAAACCTATATGGTTTTATTAACCAATGTCACCTCAATAAATTAAATTAAAAATACAACTTTAAAAAATCTTATAATTTTCTTGCTGTTTAAATAAGACTCAACCAAGAAAAACGTGAGCGGTATGCAAATACTTGTACTTCACGGAATTTTTGGATAGTTCAGCATTATTTTACGCATGGTTTTTGTGTTCATGTGAATTACTAGTGTATGGTATATTTTGATACTACTTCTTGTTTATAAGGATTTATGTATATGTCTTTTTTGTTTTTCTCTTTGTTGTTTTGTAGGGTTTTTTGTCGTCCCATTCTTAGTGAATAGAGATAATCCAATTTAAAGACTTTTAAGTGCCCTTAGGTACTGCCACTGGTACAGTTGTAAATTTTGCTCCTTATTTAGGCCTAATCCTAGCCCTGGCTCTGCTATTGCCTAAAAATAGCTCATTTCTAAATTGAAGATTATCTTTAGAACTACATAGGGGAGGGTAGCGAGGAAGTCTTCTTGCTGGGGTGGAAACTCAAATAAGAATTTAAATCTGTAGGTTGTGAGTCTTTAAACTTGTTAAATTCAAGTTTGCTTCTATTAGTAACTAGAGCTGTGAATGATTTCTATACAGGAGATTCTTTAAACTGTTGTGTAGCTAAAACATCATATATTTATTTCTAATAGCAACAGTATAGGTAGGATACAGAGGAATGTAGTAAGGAGGAAAACATTCATTATTTTAGATATGCTACATATATTTCACAGGCAAAATCTAAAGGGCAAAACATTATTACCACCTATTTGTAGGTAAATATTAAACAAGAAATCAAGAGTGATCAAGGCCAAGAGACAATAGCAGATTGTGATAAATCTCAGGTGGGAACATGGACAGGTTTTAGGGTTCTTCTGGGGAGCCATGACAGAGTCTGCTCAGAGTAAAGAGGTGCATCAGGAAAGTGGGAGTGAGGCACAGTCTAGGGCAGCCGTGGGCAAACTACGGCCCGCGGGCCGGATCCAGCCCGTTTGAAATGAATAAAACTAAAAAAAAAAAAAAAGACTGTACCCTTTTATGTAATGATGTTTACTTTGAATTTATATTAGTTCACACAAACACTCCATCCATGCTTTTGTTCCGGCCCTCCGGTCCAGTTTAAGAACCCATTGTGGCCCTCGAGTCAAAAAGTTTGCCCACCCCTGGTCTAGGGTGTGGCAAAGAGAAAGCCCATTTGAATTGTATGATCATTGGATTATTCCTATCTCAGCAATGGAGATATAGGTAATTATAGGTAGTTTTGTACTAAACTTAGTGCTTTATATGGCATCTAGTTACTTGTATAACTCTTTTTTGGGGGAAAAGCCATTTTTACTTATTTAGAGATAAGTAAAATTGATCAAAATTGTTTAAAAGAATACATGATATAAAAGAATCCAACCCTCAACATGTAGTTATTATCTGTCACCGTTACATAATATAAGGATCTCCCCCACCCAATAACACAGAGCAGGGAGAGAGCAGAAGGTCCCACCACTTTTCAAACCTGCCTCTCGCAGTATCTCCTACAAACCAGGATTCTGGGACAGTAGGTTGTACTTAGGCTTCCACTGACCCAGTTAATAGAAGAGACGGGGTATCTTTCCAACACCAGCCTCACAGTGACAATGACGCTTATTTTCTGAGAGAGGCTCGGGGAGAGCCTGAATCCCTGAGCCCTAGGGATGTGGCAAGGAGGACTACAAGGAAGGGTTCTCAGGGACAGAAAAGGGGAACCTTAAAAATACATTTTGGAACCAAATAACCAATTTTATAGTCTTATTGGTTCTCAACCTTCTTAATGACGCGACCCTTTAATACAGTTCCTCACGTTGTGGTGACCCCAACCATGAAATTATTGTCATTGCTATTTCATAACTGTAATTTTGCTACTGTTATGAATCGTTATGTAAATATCTGATATGCTGTATGTGTCTTCCTATGGTCGCAATCCACAGGTTGAGAACCTCTAAGGCTTAGAGGTAAGTCCCACTCCAGTTCTAGTGCACATGAAGGTTGAGCCCCCCCCGTTAGTGTGCCTGACTTGTTTAGTTGGCAGAGTAAATTCATGGCTGTAGATGCCCCCAAAGTCTAAAAAGATGTGTAGTTAGGGATTCAGTTGTTTAGCAAGTTGTTATTCCCCCAGATGGTGGTCACCAAATACTTGTGGAAGATGGTTGTCTCTTTTCCTCCCACACTGTAGTATTTTAAACACATTTCTTGACAGAGCCTAAATGTATCACCAGCATTACAGAAAACATGTCGGTACAGTTAAGTCCTAGGTCTCTCCAATATGGGGAGCCTCTGTAGTCACAGTGGGTGTTTTTTGTTGTTTTCAGTTGGAAATAATATTAGTATATGATTCTGAAGTGGTGAATCTTAATGGAGCAAAAAACGTCACCTATAAATGTTTCTTTTTTGCTCACCAAAGAGAAAATGGGGGTTTCTGTGACGGTTGGAATTTCTTTGCTCTGTTATCTGTTACTCTGGTGTGGGATGATCAAATTTCTCATTTCCAGGTTGCTAGGAAACAGGCAGCCTATCTTATAGATACTGGCGTATTAGACCTCTTTATTCTTTGGGCCTCTGTAATTTCTTAGAATTGCCATGCTTCCTTTCTAAAACCTAAATTATGCAGAGGCAACATGATTATTTGACCAAGCTCAGGAAGTATAAGACAATCAAAGATATGTTTAAAGAACATTACTAGGTTTAAAAAGCATTACTAGCTACAGTATATTAAGGCAATATTCTTGAAAAGTCCATGTTTGCCTCTGTTTTTGCAGCAGCCTCTTGATTTAAAAAAATATATTTTTATTGATTTCAGAGAGGAAGGGAAAGGGGGGGAGAGAGAGAAACATTAATGATGAGAGGGAACCACCAATGGGCTGCTTCCTGAATGGGGGGATCAAGCTCACAACCCCAGCATGTGCCTGTGACCGGAATTGAACCCAGGACCCTTCAGTCCAAAGGCCGATGCTCTATCCACTGAGCCAAACCAAATAGGGCAAGACTCTTGCTTCTTTTGCAACATTCCGAGGACACTCCTAAGTGTGGTTAGGAGTAGGCTGAGAATACCCTGGTAGAGCTTCAGGTAATGTTAAAAGTATTCCAATGTTAAAAGTATCCACAAGCCGGGCCTGTGGCTCTGTGATCATGATTAGAGTCCCCGTCAGAGCACATTGCCTGGGTTGCAGGCTTGATCCCAGTTAGGGAGAGTGCAGGAGGCAGCGGATCAGTGCTTCTCTCTCATCATCGATGTTTCTCTCTCTTTCTCCCTCTCCCTTCCTCTCTGTGAGGGGAGGCGGGGATAGTATAACAAGTGAACCATGGCCCCAGGAACTCTATTTAAAGAATTTACTGATTTGGTGTCCTAGAAATACTGGCATTACTATAGCTATTTTGCCCATATGTCTTCCTTTAAGAGGAAAATTCATCTTAGGTTACAATATAATTATTTTGGGAATGCTCTAAGTTTACCATTAGATTACAGGGGTTTAAAAAATGTGATCATATGGTAGATGTTGATGGAAATTTGATACAGGAATTCGTTTGAAATTGAATGCTTTGTAGAATTAATCAGAAAAGTTTTGTTGGCCTTTGATTTTGAATAGTATAGGGATTAGAGACTGAGATGGTTAGTTAAAATTTAATGAATTAGGGAGCTCTACTAAATGTTATGACAGGTCAGACTCTGTTTTTCTCTCTCAATTCAAGATACAGTTCTTTGTAGCATTTGGTTTAGAGGCTATTTTACGAGTGGCTTAGTTGGCAGTATGTATTATGATGATATACGGCCCAGGCGCAGAACCCCAGTGAGTACTCTGTTATTACTTTACAGATTGATTCCCATTCTCAGCCAGTTTATCTTTTAAATGAGCTGTAGTCTATTGTCACACTGGAAAAATTAAAACAAATGTCTTTGTTCAATGAAGATGAATTGGATAGACTAGCCATATGGCAATAGCAGGAAGACACACTTTCAGTGTGAGTTAAAGTAACTGCAGCTGTAGATTTGACTAGCGAGGAAGTTGCTTAGGTGAATTGACAGAGGTTATATGTATAATTGGGTAGAATTTTATGTTTTAATTTAAGATCTTATTTCCATGCTCGAACTGAATATAATGGTAAACCTTGGTTTGTGTGATTTGTCTTTGTCTTAACAGATTATTATTATTAGATTATTTTTGTCACTTAGAAAATTACACAAGTGATAAATGTTCATTACAAAAAGTTAATGTATGTATAAAAAGTATTCTTGTGATCACATCACTTGGAGATAAACAGTGTAAGCTGTAGATGTCTATCACTCTAGACCTCATTTCCATTAAATATCTTCCAAAACCAAATTGTGTGATGCATACTGTTTGTTTGGTAAATTTAGTTATGTTTTTTTTATGTAATAGTATTTAGAGTGAATATCTGTTTGAGCCATCAAATTTTCTTTATTTTCATTTTTATAGTTCCTTAGTAGACTTTTGTGAGATGAACTGTAATTTATTTAATAAGTTTCCCATGATTGAATTTAGGTTGTTCTAATTTTTGCTCCAGTGACATTTACAGTGTTGGGCAGAAGTAAGTTTATAGTTGTTTGTATGGAAAATAAGATAATAAATAATGATACAAGAATAAACTCTTGTGTTTTGCATACTCACAACTGTAAACCTACTTTTGCCCTACCCTGTTTATATACCTTTTTGCCTCTGTCTGATTATTTCCTTAGGATAAAATTCCTGGGAGTAGAATACTTTGTAAAGGATTTGCACAATTTAAGACCTTTGAAACAAATTGCCAACTAGCTTTCCAGAAAGGCTATTCCCGTTTTCAGGTTCTTCTCTCTCTTACTGGCTTTATAGTTGAATTAAAACGTGAACTTTTTCTTTAGTTGCAGAATGTGGAAGAGCCTGTACAGCTGGAACAGGTTGCATGTGACGCTCCTCCTCCTTACAGCAGCATCTCTCCAGAGAGTGCAGTAGGTAGGTAATGGGCCAGAGGACCACTGAGCTCTTGAAGTGCGCTGAGCCATACGCTTGTCTAGTATGTGTTTATTGGTGTTTATCTTTGCTTCAGCTTCCCCTAAATAGTCTTTGAAATTATATTTAGTTCGTAGCTTGAGGTGGAAAAAAACTAATGTTACTGTTCTGAAAAATAGGTCAAACCCCATTTTATTTTGGAACTCAATTTCATTCCAACAGACTCTTAATGTAAAAAAATAGAAATTTAGGAACCAGGTACATTACCTAATTTTTGTTCTTTTTGTAGTTTCCTTATTAGCTATTTTGCTTTTTGTGACTCTAGTACCTGTGGTGTGGAATATAGTATGTTACATTCTTTTATGCTAGTAAATTCTTAATTAAAAACAAAACAACTAGAAGTCTCCTAACTCTTTCATTCTGTTTCTCATGTTTTATTTTTTTTTAAATATATTTTATTGATTTTTTACAGAGAGGAAGGGAGAGAGACAGAGAGTCAGAAAGATCGATGAGATAGAGACATCGATCAGCTGCCTCCTGCACATCCTCCACTGGGGATGTGCCCGCAACCCAGGCACATGCCCCCGACCAGAATCGAACCTGGGACCCTTCACTCTGTCTACCCCGCTCTATCCACTGAGCCAAACCGGTTTCGGCTGTTTCTCATGTTTTAAATGTTCCTCATAGTTTCCACCTTCTTTAATTAACCTTTCATCTTCCCACATTATGTCAGATTATCTTTTTAATTTTCATGTATATGTGTAGAAGGAATAGGGAGGAAGAAAACAATCTCATTAGTTGATGACTTTTGGTAACTAGTTAACTAGTGCTTTCTGATAACCAGTTCTGCTCTTATTGCTGAAAGTTGACCACTTTTAATGGAACCTCTTCCATATTCTCTAAAATAGAACTGAGGCAAGTACATGGCCCATGGTGCCACAACTCAACCCAACCACGCCCTGGGTGGATAGGCAAGTTGAAGACAGCATTCATACCAGACAGCCTCAGAATCCTTTTCAATACAGCACCTCAGGCAGTTGTCATCAGTAGATGTGAGATTAAATCTTTTGGTAGTCTCTGTGGCCCAAGGCTGCCATTGTAATTAGATGATCATAGAAAGTTTCTCACCTCTACTCTGGCTTCAAATTCTGAACCCCATCATTTTGTATTATTTAAGGTATTTTTATTTATAAGTTTCTGAAACTAACAATGCTAACATGGTTTTAGAAGAATTCTAGGGTGCCTTGTGGAATCACATTAAGACAACAACAGCAAGACTTGGGAAAGAATTGCAGTGCTAGTCCTTATTCACTCATCTCTGCCTAGAACAGTAGTCACCAACCTTTCGGACCTCGTGGACCACCAGTGGTCCGTGGACCACTCGTTGGCGACCGCTGGCCTAGATTATTAGTACTGGTCTTCCATTAAATACATTCATGAAAATTCCAACTGACAAATAAGAAATTGGATTTCTTTTTATTAATGATAAAAGTCCTTCCTTTTTATAGGAGGTAATTTTTCCTGAATATCTTAGTTTCTATTTTGTGTGAATTTTTATAACCATTTTATTTATTTTATTTTTTAATATATGTACTTTTTTATTGTTGATAGTATTATAGATGTCTCCCATTTCCCCCCATAACCATTTTAGACAGAAATCTTCCTCAAACACTTCTTTCCCTTATTCACTGACATTTCATATTCTTTTTTTAAAAAAAATATATATCTTTATTGATTTCAGAGAGAAAGGGAAATGGGAGAGAGAGATAGAAACATTAATGATGAGAGAGAATCATTAATTGGCTGACTCCTGCATGTCCCCAGTAGGGGGCTACCTGGGCATGTGCCCTTGACTGGAATCAAACCTGGGACCCTTCGGTCCTCAGGTTGACTTGATGCTCTATCCACTGAGCCAAACCACTAGGACTGTTTAAAAATTTCTTTATGATTTAGGGATTACAACAGAAACAATCTCTGGAAGGTATTCTGTTCTGTACTATACTGGTGATGCCTTTATTCATTGAGATTTGTTGAACTTTTGACTCAAGAACCAAATTCCTCCCTGGTTTGTCAGATAACAACTCCTTTTGCTTTCAGCATGAGGTCCTCTACCTCTTTCTCTTGTTTTTGTTAATCTTGCTATGGGCCTCAATAGCAAATAACAAAAGTTTCTAAGATTGGGTATAAAGGAAAGAAACTGTATAAGGCCTGAAGAGATCTCTCTTGAATAAAGTCTTTGGGTTTTGTGGCATTGTATCCAACTACAGAGGTCTTAAAAAACAAAATAAAACGAACACTTAAGTTCCTAGGTCTCTATGAACTCTTTTAGTTCCAGGTTAGGGAAATAGGTTTTTAGAGATCATAAGTTACTCAAGACCATTCATTTTTTTTATTACTTATGAACTAGGGTTTTTCTTTTTTTTTTAAAGGAAACTTTATTAATGGCTTAAATGGCCTTCCACCCTTTTTAAATTAACATGGCTTATTTTTTAAGATAAATATTAACTGTGTGGACTTATTAGTCCATTTATGTGAAAAAAGAAACAGAATGCAACACCCATTTTGGTGGGGGGAAAATAACATCAATGTTTTGTATATTCATTTTACCTATTTTAATTTGTGATATATAAAATTTAACAGTAACAAATACTGGATTTTTTTTGTACTAAATAAACTTGAAAAGATTGTCAAATTTTTCGTGGAAACTTAAAATTGTATGAGATCTATATGGATGGATTCTATTTTTAAAAAATCTTTTGAAATAGGGAAATTAAAATGTTCTTGTTTTTCCTCAACTTAAATAGTAGATATCAGTTTTATTTTTGTATTAAAAATTACTATGGCAGTGGGATAATTCAAATTGTACATTTCTGTTTGTGATGTGACTTTAGTATGATTTGATTAAAAGTAAAAAGAAATTTGATAGGCAGTTAAATGGAATATTTTATAATATATACCAGTGATGGCGAACATTTTGAGCTCGGCGTGTCAGCATTTTGAAAAACCCTAACTTAACTCTGGTGCCGTGTCACATAGAGAAATTTTTTGATATTTGCAATCATAGTAAAACAAAGACTTATATTTTTGATATTTATTTTATATATTTAAATGGCATTTAACAAAGAAAAATCAACTAAAAAAATGAGTTCGCGTGTCACCTCTGACATGCGTGTCATAGGTTTGCCATCACTGATATATATGTACACATGTGTACGTGTATACATGCGTATATCTATCTAATCTAATAAAAGAGAAACATGTAAATTGACTGTACCTTTGCTACGCCCAAGCCACACCCACCACCGCAATCAGAGCGACTATATGCAAGTTAACCTAACCAAGATGGCAGCCAGCAGTCTCGGAGCTGGAGCAAGCAGGAGGCTTGGTTGCCCCGGCGATGGAGGAAGCCAAGCCCTGGCAGCTGTGTCCCACAGCGGGAGCTCTGCTCAGCCACAAGCCAGGCTGACAGCTGACAGCACAGCGGTGGTGGTGAGAGCCTCTCACGCCTCCTCAGCAGCGCTAAGGATGTCCGACTGTAGCATAGGCCTGCTCCCTGCTGGCAAGTGGTCATCCCCCAAGGGCTCCCGGGCTGCCAGAGGGATGTCTGACTGCCAGCTTAGGCCCAATCTCCTGGGGAGTGGGCCTAAGCCAGCAGGTGGACATCCCCCAAGGGGTCCCAGACTGCCAGAGGGCACAGGCTGGGCTGAGGGACTCATCCCTCGAGTGCACAAATTTTTGTGCACCAGGCCTCTAGTATATATATAAAAGCCTAAGTGACTGGCCAACCATGCGGTAGCTAAGATGCTGACCACCAGGGGGCAGGCCCTCAATGCTGGTGTGGAAACCACAGGCATGGAAACATGGAACAGACTGATGAATCTCAGAGAGGAGGGGGGAGCACGGGAAGAGATTAACTGAAGATTTTATATGCATACTAGAGGCCTGGTGCACGGATTCATGCACTGGGGGGCGAGGGGGGGGTACCTTTACCTGGCCTGTGCCCTCTTGCAATCTGGGACCCCTCCGAGGATGTTGGACTGCCGATTTTGGCCCAGTCCCCGCGGTCAGGCCAAGGGATCCCACCGGTGCACGAATCTGTGCACTGGGCCTCTAGTATATGTATGTTTATGTATGTATGTTAAATAGTTACTTTGACTTGGGAAAAAAACACCAAGTTTCTTAGGTGGCAGATTTAGTTTAAATAACATGTTTTCCTATATTTCTAAAAGATTTAATATTTTATATTTCCCCTTTACATCTGCATTTCACCTGAAGTTGTTTTTTCTTTCTTTTTGTTTAAACATATTTTTATTGATTTTAGAGAGGCGGGAAGAGGGAGAGAGAGATAGAAACATTAATGATGAGAGAGAATCACTGTTCAGCTGCCTTTCTCATGCCCCCTACGTATACCCTGTCATATGCCCTGACCAGGAATCCCAGCGGTGATCTCCTGTTTCATAGGTTGACACTCAACCACTGAGTCACAGTGACCAGGTGAGAAGTAGATAAATTTAAAAATCATTCCCACTCTTATATTCATCTATAAACATCTTTTGATTCAATTATGTACATGTGCTCTTAGAGGAGTGCCTGGTTTTTATTTGCCAGAGTTAGTGGAAATCTTTTTTTTCCCTCCGTTCAGCTAATCATCAGATAATTGTGACTACCTTTTAATTCTGCAGTGTATTTTGACTACAAAGACGAGTCTGGGTTTCCAAAGCCCCCATCTTACAATGTGGCTACCACACTGCCCAGTTATGACGAAGCCGAGAGAACCAAGGCTGAAGCTACTATCCCTTTGGTTCCTGGAAGAGTAAGTCCATGGGAATCAAATTATTTTCATTATTATCCACTTTGATTTATTACTTACAATTGTATTGATTAGTAAAAGTACAACTAATTTTTAAAAACAAGCATATTTTCTTTGGAGATAATAAGCTCTTATCTCTTCCTGAAAATGATAAGAAAATCACTAGTTAAGCCAGCTCATTTCCCTGTATCTTTACTACTACCACCACTTTCTCAATTCTCCTGGCATGGCTGAAGTGTCTTGGAGCAGGAGCTGTTTTAGGAAATACACTGCCTTCCCCTTGATTCTGCACACTTCAGTTTTGGTGTTAGGTAGGTAGCTGTTGGGGAGATCTATGGAGATAATGAATAAGTGCAACTTTATGGAATTAAACTCATAAAAGTGTCCTGACAATCATCTAAGATGACCCTTATGCTACCAGTGCAGATTACAGCATTTATAGGGCAGTAGTGAATTCAGATCCATCTCACCTGATGTTAATTAATGGGAGTGTGGGTGGGGTGTGATAAAGCCAGCCCGAGATTTGGGGGCACTCTTGGTAAATGATGTAGATGTGGTTTAAATATCCATCCAGGTTGAAGCTGATATAGGTAGGACCTTGAAATATTGAGACAGTGGGAAGCAGGATCCAGTCTCCAGGAATGTGGATTGATCAGACTTGAAACTAGTTCCGGCAGGAAACTAGAGTGAAAGATAAAGAAGGGAAGCTCAGTCTGGGTAACACAATGGCACAACCCCTAGAAGTTCAGGCCTTAGGGTAGGGAACTGTTTACAGACCACATATTCAGGGATGGGGCTTCTAAAACCACTGCTTGGCGGAAATAATAGTTTATAAGTCTAATCTAAGCTGATTCTGCATGGTGATGTGCATTCAGTTCTTGTAGGTGCCGGGGAGAAAGTAAAAACCTCCTGGAGCTTATTGCCTTGAGAACAAAACAGTCTTAATGTAACTTCTAGTATTGGAAACAGACAACATGATTGATCCTATGTGTGGTGCTTTCATATAGTATTTTGTATATTGTTTCCAGTCCTCATAGTAACATCAGAGAGTAGGGATTATATTATCCCTATTTTACAGATATAAAAACTTGAGTCCCAGAGAGATTAAGTAGTTTGCCCAAAGTTATGTAGCTAATAAGTAACATAGATGAGAGCCAAACCCAGATATTCTAGACTCTAGAGTCCTTGTATGTATGCTGTAGACCTGTTGGAATATATGGCAACTGTCCTATGGAAATAGACCAAGATATTAAATCTGACTAATCACAGAACTCTTTAGAATACTTTTATTCCACAAGTATGTATACTTAGAAACATCTTTTTTTAAAATATGTTTCTATTGATTTCAGAGAGGAAGGGAGAAGGAGAGAGTGATAGAAACATCAATGATGAGAGAGAATCATTGATCAGCTGCCTCCTGCACAGCCCATACTGGGGATCGAGCCTGCAACCTGGGCATGTGCCCTGACTGGGAATCAAACCGTGAATTCATATCCCATCTCTCTGCTTTTACAGAGGCATTCTCCTGGTTCATAGGTCGATGCTCAACCACTGAGCAACGCTGGCTGGACAAGGAACATCTTAAAGGGTTTTCTTATTCAGCAAACCTATATAGAGCACTTTTTTAATACAATGTGCTTGCTGTGTATTTTGAGATGGGTAGGTAGAAAGCTTTGTATAAAGCAGTGTCCCTGCCAAGAGCTTTAAATCCAGCTGGGGAAAAGGCCCTTCAATACCCATATCTAAGCAGCAGCACAGGAGCAGTGAGCATAAGAACTGTGACTTTTTATTGTGTGATCATGGGGAAGATGGAATTTGAAATGTGCCTTGAGTTTTAAGGAAGGCATTCCAGAAAGAAAAGCCCAGGAAGCAAATGTAAATTCAGCCAGGTACAGGGCAGGTTCTGTGGATTTAGTCATTGGTTTTGCTTGAGAACAGATTTGTAGGTGGTAAAGGGTATCCCAAAATTCATGCAAGAAGTAATTTTGATAGAAAACACAGGTTTATAATTAAAAATTGTAATTTTTTTATTGATTCATAAAGTATACAGTATAGGGTTATATATAGAATAGCATATCGGGCAAATGGCTTCCACGGCTTTGCTGGCACATACGCACTCTTTTGTTATTGCCTGAGCAGCCGCCGCATTTTCGAAAAAGAATGGTCCGATGATGCCTCCAGCCCAAAATACTTCTTGCGTGAATTTTGGGACACCCTTTAGAATCTCCTGAATGTTAGGCTGAGGCATTTAGACTTAAGTGCAGGCCACACAGAATCCTTTGTAGTTTTTGAGCAGGGATGTGATAAGACCCGTATGGTGTTTTAGAAACATTATCCTGGCAACAGTCGGTTGGGTTACGTCCTGATAAACCCATTGAAGGTTGAAAATATTGTAAGTTGAAAATACATTTAATACACTTAAACTACGAACATCCTAGTTTAGCCTAGCCAGTTTCTATTAATGCATATTGCTTTCACACTACCATATGGTTGAAAAATTGAAAGTCAGACCATCATAAGTTGGTTTCACTTCCATGTATTTTTGTAGCATATATATTTTTGACTAATTATGCAAAAAAACAATTTCTAATTTGGCAAAGCCTTATTTATCCTGCTAATATGAAGTCAGAATACTGGGTATTTAGTATTTTAAAAAATAAAATAAAAATCACACACTCATAAAAATTTTAAACAAGAGAGGAAACACGTTAAGTTAGAAATGGAAGCTACCACTGATCCTTCCCTTTTTTTAGTTCCAGCTCCCCAAGGGAAGCACGTTAACAGCTTGTTGTGGATTTCCAAGCTCCTTTTCTGTGTAGGGACAGTTTTGATTGCCCCTCAAGTTTTTTTGTTTGTTTAATTTGAGGAACCTTTACTGGGCTGTGTACAAGTCTATCACTTTTACTGTTAAGCATATATTCACTTATTTTTCAATGTCTCAACACATCTACATCAGTTAAAAAGGTAGGCTACAGTGTGTTGGTGTCAATATTGATCAAGATTTTGTTCCTTCTAGACCTGCAATACTATGTTTTCATGTTAGGATGGAAGAGATCCGATCTGCCAATAAAATTGGAAGTGAGGTTGTTTCAGACCTAGATTCCCACATAAACAAATGATTATGGAGATGAGCAGAGGGCAGCCCTATAGACTCTGCATGTATGATGGTGCCATCCTTTTCCCCCTATGTCAGACTCGTAAAACACCTGAGCTGCTCAATTGTGTCTCCTTAATTGGCCCTGGATTACTGACATTCTAGAATTTAAGCCAGACGTATAAGTAAATTTTCTCTTTTTAAAAGATATATATATATATGGAACTTTGTGTTTATAATTTTTGAAGTATATTGTTAAAGAACTTGGGTTATAAAATGAAAAAAAATCACTTAGAAAACTGGAGATGGAACAGAAAGATTTGTTCTTTTCTCTAATTATATTCTACTCTTAGGTCTCTTTTTAAAATTTAGTTTTATTGCAGCAACATCAGTTTATAACATTATGTAAGTTTCAGGTGCAAAATGACATTTAAAAACCATACTGATCCTTAATGCTCATAGTTTTGAATTGAGCCAAAGCAGTAACTTTTCTCCTTGGTACTACTTTTGTCCCTCTCTCTTTTTCTAGATGTCTTTCCTTTGCCTAGAAATAATTCATTGTGAATTTACCTTATTCTTTTTCTTTTCATGTAGGATGAGGATTTTGTGGGTCGGGATGATTTTGATGATGCTGACCAGCTGAGGATAGGAAACGATGGGATTTTTATGTTAACTTTTTTCAGTAAGTACATACACATAGCAGAGTCACTTCCCACAGACTGGATGGAGTACTTTGGATTATGGGTGAATCTGACTGAATTAAAATAACTAGTGGAACTAATACTATTTATTTGGTGCCTTTTACTGAAATGTCAGAGCTTAGTACACTTTTATCTTAATATCCTTTCTCTTTGTCTTATACTTTTATGAATTTCTATGGAAAATATTAAAATAATTAAATAATTAAATTGGTTACGGGGCTGCTGCATTTATGCACGAGCCAAGCTCATCTTTCTGGTCTGCAGGGCCCTATAGCCTTGCTCTTACTTATACCTGACCTGTAAGTGCCTTTGTCTGATGAATTTTGTTTTTTGTGAGCTTTTATTTTCTAACAGATCAAAGTCAGCATGATTTTTGTCTCCTTAATGTTTTGCATTTATCTTTCCATGTGCCTCACTTAAAGTGAGCGACCTTATTTCTTTTATTTGTTATATTAAAAATATATGAAGGAAATGCAATGCTTTTAGAGGTGACGTTATGTAAACTACCAAAATTTATAGAAGCAGGAGGATGAATGACTTGAATCAAATTATTTGGGTGCACTAATTTAATGTTTAAGGCATTTATTTTATTTACTGAAGTTTAACACATAGAGCAAAGTCATAAGCATACAGTTACGGCATTTTTAAAAGTGAACAGCAGTAGCTATAATAGTGTATCATCTGATATTCAGAGAGGATGTTTTCTTGGTTGCTTTGGGGGGTGGGTAAGGGTTGTGGAGGGCAGGTTGGGCTCTCTTTTATCCTTGGGAAAGCCATTTAAGCAGAAGCAAGTCAGAGGGGACACTCTTGCTCCAGGGTAATAGGACATGTCTGATATCTTTTTTCTCTCTGCTTTTACAGTGGCATTCCTCTTTAACTGGATTGGGTTTTTCCTGTCTTTTTGCCTGACCACTTCAGCTGCAGGAAGGTATGGGGCCATTTCAGGATTTGGTCTCTCTCTAATTAAGTGGATCTTGATTGTCAGGGTAAGTTGTACACCAGAGATGATAGACTCTGTAGAGAAACAAAAAATAGAGTAATTTTGAATATTTTATTGTTTTCATTTGCTGTATTTGCATTATGTCAACATTTAAAAGGATTTTTGGTTTGTCTTTGTTCTGGTATCATGAAGTTGAACCGAAATCAGTTGCAATTGGTTCATGCATACAAGTTTTGTAGTCAAATCTAGTGAATATTAGTGGTCCAGGGGCATCTATCCTATAGGTTTTTCACTACCTACTCTCTCTCTCTCTCTATTTTATTTTTTATTTATCTTTAACTGTTTAACAAGTGCTCCATTAGGGGGTCTTATCTATAAAGTAAATTAGAGATATCTTCAGTGATTTGGAAGTTAGAATCACATGAAGTAATTTAAAGTTATAAAAGATCTAGTCTCTTCAAGTGTCTTCTGATTTCAAGTAAGTTTATTGCTATTGACAACTTTATAAATAAAACAAATTATTCATCATAATCTGGCATTAATAACTAATTAATGGGTGTTGACTGACCACTGTGGTTTTTCAAACTTATTTATTCTAAAGTGTCCCGACCTGCGGGACAACAACGGGGGAACCAAGAGACACCCTAGGAGAATGAGGCAAGCAAGGGACACGAAAGAATGGAGGCAAGACAGGATTCTGATCAAGCCTCAAACTTTATTCTTACAGCGGCAGAATATATACTGTAGTTCCTTTCTTTTTTGTTAATCCTCACCTGAGGATATTTTTCCATTGATCTTTTAGAGAGAGTGGAAGAGAGAAACACATCAGTTGATTGCCTCTTGCATGCACGCCGACTAGGCCTGGGCCGGGGAGGAGCCTGCAGCCAAGATACATGACCTTCACTGGAATCGAACCCAAGGACCCTTTGGTCCACAGGCCGACACTTTATCCACAGAGCCCAACCCGCTAGAACCCAAGTTCCTTTGAGATTCTGATAAAAGTTACGGGCTTTTTCCCTAGACAGCTAATATGCAGTCATCTAAAACATGGATTTGAGGTTAAGAAACCAAGCCCTAAAGAGGTTTTTTATTCTTTCTCTAAATCTTCATTGTTATTTTATTAAGAAATAAAATACTATGTTTTAATACTCAGGTTTTAACATAGACAAACTTAAATTTTTGAACATCAAAGCCTCCAATAGAAAACAGATAAAATTAGTTACCAGGTTTTTGGGTTTTTTTTTTTTTTTTTTTTACTAAATTTAAAACTGAATTTAATGAATCAATTTGTATCAGTTAGGATGGCTTTGTATGCAGGTAACAAAAACTTAGTTCAGAATGGCTTGGAAAACAGTGGGAAAAATTATCTAGGAAAACAAGTTCTGACATGGAGATTAGTTAAATCAGTGTTTTATTGACGTCATCAGGGACAACTGTTCACCATGTTGGAATAGCTGCTCCTCCCTGAAGGTTAAGGCATTGTCACAGAAACCCACAGTGCTCAACAGAAAAAAGGGAACTATTGGTTCTTTTCTTTTTCCCTTTAAGAGCAGGGAAACCTCAGCAGGCTTCAATTCCCATTGTCCAGAATAACATCCTGTGAAAGGAATGGGGTTATCATTATGTACATGAGAAAGTTTTCAAGGTCAGGGCATGGCTGGAGGAGTAGGAATAAAATCAGGACTCATTAGAAAGGAAGCCAAATAGTTGGTTTTGGCACTGAGTAAACAAAGTAAAAGTATTAGTAAAATGTGTTTCTAGAAGGACCAATATTATGTGGGTAAAAGATTGAGAAAACTAAACAGATTTGAGCACTTTCAAAACAAGGAATCTATAAAGCTGAAAGCTATCATATTTCAAGACTACTTTTCCATGAAAATAAAGATATTTATGTCGTAAGTACTTCAAACCAGTAATATTTAAAATACTTTTATTTTTTTTAAAAAATATGTTTTTATTGGTTTCAGAGAGGAAGGAAGAGGGAGAGAGAGAGAGAGAGAAATATCAATGATGAGAGAGAATCATTGATTGGTTGCCTCCCGCACACCCCCTACTGAGGTTTGAGCCCGAAGCCCCGGCATGTGAATTTAACCTGGACCCTTCAGTCCGCAGGCTGATGATCTATCCACTGAGCCAAACCAGCTAGGGCAGTGGTTGGCAAACTGCGGCTCGCGAGCCACATGCGGCTCTTTGGCCCCTTGAGTGTGGCTCTTCCACAGAATACCATGTGCGGGCACGCACGTACAGTGCGATTGAAACTTTGTGGCCCATGCAGAAGTCAGTTTTCGGCCTGGGCAAGTCTATTTTGAACAAGTGGCGTTAGAAGAAGTGGGGTGTGTTGGTCGGTCTGGCAACCAAAGACGCGCCGCTCGCGCGCGGGATTCATGCACGAGTTGAGTGAGCCAGTCAGTCAGCAGTCTCATTGTGGAGTGGTTAGTGCTAGTCGCCTCAGCAAATTGAGCGCGGGTGACAAAAGTACCTACTCGAAGCATAAAGCTACCTGTATTTTTCCAGCCAGCTGCAAGTCCTACAGGTATTTTTGTCATCAATTTAATAATTGTAATTATTTTGTGTTGGTGGCTTTATTATTATAAAATGAAACATTTTTTTAGGTGCCCTGTATGTTGAGATGGTTTGGACATACAGAGAGGATGAACGAAAGGAGATGGACAAAACAAGTATACAAGACAAGTGTGGATGGGAGAGTTGGAAGGGGTCAACCTCAGCGAACGTACCTCAATCAGATTGAGGACGTTTTTAGCAAAGGCCAGCTTAGGAGTGCCCTAATTAAGTTAATAACAGTGTACCTACCTATATAGTTTAAGTTTAAAAAATTTGGCTCTCAAAAGAAATTTCAGTCGTTGTACTGTTGATATTTGGCTCTGTTGACTAATGAGTTTGCCGAACACTGGGCTAGGGCACTTTTATTTATTTTTAAGAGCTAAAGGACAGCATTCATATACAAAATAAAGTCTTATGTTTTGTGTGCCTGTAAGTTAAAATGTGAAATTGTATCGCTAAACTGCTATGAAATGTTTTTGTTTTTGTTTTGTTTTGTTTTTTCAGTTTTCCACTTATTTCCCTGGATACTTTGATGGTCAGTATTGGCTCTGGTGGGTGTTCCTGGTTTTAGGTAAGTGCTTTTAACATAGACAAAGGAGAGGAAAGATTATGTTAAGTTTTATAAGTGAGATTACTTTTAGTAAACCCTCATCATATTATACAGCGATAGATTAATCAACAATCAGTATAATTTTAAAAATATTTCTCCCTCAAAAATTAGGCTTTCACCATCAGAATAACATGAACGTTAATAAAATGTCTGTTAGTAGTTGTAGGTTTTCCGTAACTCGTTCATATTCACTTCTCAGGTTCCCCATGTGACCAGTGGGACACTGATAAGACTTTATAGTTTGGATTTTTTCCCCCTTGTGAATTATTGCCATAAAGTCATAGACTTAACCCCAAATTGCTTTTAAGCATATTGTAACCAGTTGAACTACTCATGAGCTACTCATGAGTCAGTAGAAAACAGAAAATATATAGCCCTGTTAGATATAATTTCTGGAAGAACCACTATTGGGTTTCCAGAATTCTTTAGTTTGTTATTAAAATAAGAATTTCTTTTGTGTTAGGCAGAGGTTTTTTTAAAAAAAATAACAGATATTTCAGGTTGGCCTTAATGTTTTATTTTTTACTCTAAATATTTATTTTAAAATCTTTTTTTCTAAGATATTTTAAAGCAAAGAAATGAACATTGAGGTGAATATTGTTGGCTTCTCCATTCTTTGTAAAGAAAATATTTTTGATAATAACAGATCACTACCATTTCTATAAAATAATAGCAGGGCCATTATATCTATGTATCTATTAAAGATGGTATAATTGCCTTGTTCTGCTCTGTGACATCACTCTCTCCTGTTTCCTGGTTTGGGCCTTTTTGCTGCTTCCTTAATTAAGACCCCTGATGGCAGTGCTACTAATGGGTCTGGCTAGCACCGTGTAGTAGCACTATGCCCAATAGGTACTTAATACATTCAGGACTTACCTTCTTTGTCTCATGCATTGCTGACCCTAAATTATATTTAGGAAATACAAGTCATCCGTCATGCCATTACTCACCTTCCAATAGCATCATCTACTTTACCAATAGTCATTATAATTCCAAGGGAAGAAAAATACGATCCCCTCCCCCATGATTATTGAGAAGCTTAATAATAAAAATGACCTGCCAGAGAGTCACTTTGGAGGAATAGTTCCTTGACTTTCTTATTCTTAAACTGTCTTTAAGAGAAACGCTGACTCCCCTTCTTCCCTAAAGCTTCAAGTCCAAGCAAATCCTAAAGGAACCAAAGAAGAGCCGTTAAGCATATTTCAGTTTGATTATTGACAGTAGATAATTTAAAGAAACTTAATGGGCTGATTTCCTTCTTTATGTTAAAGATAAGAGATATAAATTTATAATACTTTATAATTGATCATTCTTGCTTTCTTGCTGCTTTTACTAGTGAGCAAAAAGTGGTGAGACTTTGGATGTGTATTAAGTGCATCTGGACCTAATGTTTGGGTCATTTTTGGAACTTCTCTTGTGGAGAGAACCAACCTTTTTGGAGTTTTTTCTCTAAGGACCAGGTCTAAAGGTGTTTAAAATGTGTCTAAGACTCAGGGGCCATCTTTGAAGAGGAGGGCTGGGAGTGTCTGAGCTCCCATTAGAGGGCACACCGACTTCCAGCTCACTCTTCCAAGAGGTACAGACTCCGTGAATGTGTAGATTCTGGTGTAGCCATACAAATCAGCCTTACTGTTTTACCTGCCTGGTAAGTAAATGGCAGAGTGCCCTATTTGTATGTATTTTTTAAGAATGAAGAAATAGGATCGAGTTGAAAATAAGAGACTTACTGTAATAGGTAAGGGGATCCTGACATCTAGTGGTCAACATTATGTACTGCTGACAAAAAATCCCTTGACAAGAAAGGATGAAATTTGTTTTCACTTGAGAAAAAGTTTATACCC